TAGTTGCTAATTGTGCAGTGCAGCACAATGGGTCACCCTCTCACCGTTTGGTGTGCACCTTTTACGGGCACGAATGACTAGCCATGTGCCTCCATTATAAAGAAGGTCAAGTGTCCTCAACTTGCCGATGTGGGACTAAAGCAAAGCGTCCTCTGTTCCGCGGCTGGGGCACTTGAGTTATACTAATAATAAATAAACACGTCATCTGATGCTGAGCCTATCTGATGGTGGCACACAACTGCGTGCAATTCTTCTTTTTTTTTGCGATGGAAATAGGATGTTTTATTTCAAACTCATAGAATTACAATCCTTAGCAACAAGTTCAGAAATAAAAGGAGAGGGTGGGTTAAGCCAGCACGCAGTGCTATCTCCAGATCTACCATAATTTGCTAAGCAATGGGCAACTTTGTTTTGATCACGAGAAACTTTAACTGCGCACAATTCGTTCAGGTTTGGAGTTGGAACATGCCTAGCAGAGCTCACCGGTCTCTATTCATACAGTGTTTCCTATTTTAGGCTCATCTTATTGGGTTTAGTTGCTGCATGCGGCTGCTGTGCCAAAGTAAAAAAAAACTCTTAAATCTCCACTACTCCCTCCTTCCCATAATATCTTTATCTTTAGCTAAGGACGGAAGCTTTTGTAGTTCTTCATTCATCACCCCTTTATATATTCGTTGATTTTGTGTTAACCTTAAAAAATTGACGGCTGAGATTTAAAAATAGATTTATACATAAGCAAGGAGTCAACGAATAATAAGTAGGTTAGGAAATAACGACTCGATCATGCTGACATACCTTTCGGCTGGGATAAAGAGAGAGACGTAGGAGATTGTGAGGAGAAAAAAAGGAAGACAGATAAAAAGAGGAAGACATGAGCTATGTGTATGCATCTGGAAGATTTCACCTTTATCAAGCAAACGAACTCCAAACGTGCATGGCACCTATTTTATATATTGCTGAATTTTCCCTATTATAGTTGACCTATCATGTTCTTGCACTAGACTTTTTCAATAGTATGACTGAATTTCGAAAATTGGTAGGAGAGGACGAGCGCGCACGCTCCTGTTATCTCCCACCATGGAACCTGGCATAGGGATGCGGGTTATACTCTATATTATATGTTTCCTGGTGGGGCATGCAGGGCATACATGGAGTTACGAATTAGGGCATGTACAATAGTTGACAAGACAGTCTTATCTTAAGTCTTGCATGTAATTTAGAGATGACAAAAAAAATATGTCTACAATGGGTTATATCTTAGCCTTATCTTCAATAACTAGCAATTCCTTAAAACTTGGTGAGACAAATTGTGCTAAGAGATCATCTCTTGTCTTATCTTAAATAAGAGAAGACAAGCCTTTTCTTACGAGTTCTCTCTCCTTCACCTCATCATTTATCCTATGTGACACTCCTAAGATAGCACTATTGTACATGCCCTTAGCATACGTACGTAACGGAGGTGGGGTTAAACGGGCGTTTGGCCCTGATGCGAGGATTGGTTATGTGCCAAGGTGTACCAGTGGAACAGCAACAGGGGTAACAGCGCGCAGTTGATCCCGTTTATGGTGGGGAGCGGTGCTTGTGCGGGCCAGCTAGCCCATTTATTATCGGACCGAATCAGCCTCTCCGTCTCTAACTGCTTATTTCTTCCAGGAAAAAACACCAGGGAAAAATAAGATAAGTTAGTGAGTCCAGGGAGTAGCAGCTGGTTATGTCATGATTGGCATACAAGGATTAATCTGAATTTTTTTGTTACATTACCTTTAAAATTACATTTCAACAGTACATCCGCATAATTCAGGGCATCCGACAAATACAGAACATAATTTAGCTATCAGGCACTGCAAGTGAGCTTTCAGGATACAAGGCGAAAATAGCGAAAATCCAGCAATATTTGAAATGATTGGTACTTGCATAGATGAATGACAGGGCGACATTTCAGGGGATTTTACCATTAAAACAGGAATTAAAAATGGAGGCATATGTGTATGTAATGGATAGTAGATGAATATGTCATCAGTAGCACATGGAGATTAATCTGAGATATTTGTTACAGGACCATGAAGCATGAAATAGTTTTAAACAACACATCTAGACAGCTCAGGGGCTCACGCAAATACATATTACTAAGATGACAGTACATAAGTATTTCAGGTGCATGGTAGGGAGCAGTCAGGATACAGGGTAAATATGCTAGCTGCTTGTATAGATTACTCATGGTTCGATAACAGGATCATGAGTAGGTTGCTTTCCATGTGCAGGTGTTCTTTCGATGCCCTCCCACTCCGCAGATTGAGCATTTTGATTCTTTCCTTTTCTTTTGAGGAGTGTCCCCTCTTAGGGGACACGTTGTGCTCTTGTGACCAGGGCCACGGCATATAGTGTAGAACCGTGTTCGTTTGCTTGTACTGCATCCAATACCTGTATCAACTTATGATGTGACCTTATTTTTTTTTTGCTCTTTGCAGATCGGTCATCATATGGAGGCTTGTCTCTGATGTTTGTTGGTCGACCGGCCTTGTGTTTTTGTTCTGGAGCTGATAATCCAATGAAATATTTGACGGCGCTACCTTCATCATCGCTCATGTGTCCATGTTGTGCTCCTTGGAAGAGAGTCAGTTCTGTACCTTTTGTCTTCTTCATTTCAATCATGTGTTGCAAACCCAAACCATCATGCTCAGCAGCTAAATATGTTAGTTTATCCATTGCTGCCCTAAGAGTTCCATCGCACAATCATATGCAATTGGATTTGCATCACCAAGTTTTACAACCTCTAAAGCATGTGTATAAAAATTTGAATGTCTGCTGAAATCTTGTCTCTTTGTAGGTGTGACAAGTGGGTTGGAAGTATATCTCTTGCATCTTTTGTCCACCTTTTGAGGATATGCTTTGATGGAATTTTGTCTATACCCAAGAAATCAAGAACCTGCAATGCAATTTTAAATTGTTGAGTATATACGGTTTTTTGAAGCAAGCCTGAACACTGATCCTACAATTTTTGTCTCAATATGGTGATTCTGTACCTTAACTGAACGGCAGCATACAGTCATGTGCGCTTGAAGTTACCACATTCACATGAGAGTTCTTCATCCTCAGCGACAACATGCACTATGTAGTATGTACAGTACTCTACACTACTTCTCGTATCTCTCTGGGTGGTACCGGTGTAAGTAATATTTCGAACCATTTTTAACTTCTACCCTGTATTGTCCTGCTTCATACAGGACCTCACCAAAATTCTCAAACATAGCTCGAGTGTAGATCCTGCTAGCGTGGAACTCCAGTGGTGTGTTCACCTTGTACATAAAAATTTTCTTTGTTAGTTTCTAGCAAGATTCGTAAAGCTTAAATTACAAGTACTAATATTAAATGCAGTAACGAAGCAACTCACTATCTTTGTTCGTTTTTTTTTTGGAACGAAGGCTCAAGAAGAGCCCGGCTTTGAATTAACAAAGCCATCAACCGGCCAGGATTACAAGGACAACCGCTTACAACGCAAAGAAAAGGGAACCGAGCGACGGATACAAGGTACTCAAGCAAAACAACTCAAGGCAGCAACAAATTGACGCTGCTACCAACACCCTACTGGACGACCTACACCAACAGAACAAAACTAGGGTCTTGGGAGGAATGCACCGCCGCGCAAGCTTCGTGATCACAGCCACCCTCGGAACCAGCCATGGACCAGACCACCACCTATTACTGCCTCTGCAAAGGGCCCCTACCCCTTCATCCTGGCTCGAAGGATGCCGTACCGGCAGACGGCGGCTCGGTTCACCCCAGAACCCAAATGGATGGCCTCCAAGCTGCAAGGAGAAGAGACTAGAGCAGGACACAAGCCCATGGCACACTACAAACAAGCACCATCGTCGTCTGCGGCTCAGCCGCACCAAAGGGCGAGAGCTGTCGGCCACATTCGCAGAAGCAAGGGAAGCAGCGAAAAGTAGATCAAAGGCCAGCGCTGGATTCCCGGAGCACAATGCTCCCACCCAAAGGTATATCGTTGTCGCCGAAGAGGGGAACCCACATTCGCAGAAGCAAGGGAAGCAGCGAAAAGTAGATCAAAGGCCAGCGCTGGATTCCCGGAGCACAATGCTCCCACCCAAAGGTATATCGTTGTCGCCGAAGAGGGGAACCCGATCCCCTCTTGCCCAGGCTCGTGGGCGTCGACCCACCGGCGACCTCGTCAGGGACCCTCCAGCAGCAACCTATGAAGAAACCAAGCTGACTCCCGCCACCATCACATCCACAACCAAACTCTCTCTCCGCCCCTGCAATCCCCGGACGGTGCCTCCAAGAAGGAACACGACACGGACATGCCGTCGCCGCCCGAAGCAGGGGACCTAGGCTTTCACCTAGGAGGGGGCGGAAGGAGGGGGGAGGATCCACACCACAGCCTCCAAGGGGGGGAACGGCGCCCAAGGCGTCGCCTTTGGTGTGACCGCCGCGCCGGCCAGGGGTTTCCCTCGGATCCAGCCCCGCCCGACGAGATCCGCGCAGCCAACAACCGAGAGCAGCGGCCTAAGCCACCAGGACCCAGATCTGGCCAAGGAAGGAGCAGATCGGGGCGGAGGGGATGGACTTCATCAGTGGCATACCTGCGGGGAGGGATGCACACCTGCGACCGTCGACCACCGCCACCTCGTCACCCGCAAGACCGAGGAGGCGCCTAGCTCGCACCGGCAGGGCGGCCCGCCGCCAGGACCACCCCACCCTCACCTGCCGGGGCCGCCGCCCCGCGTGCCGAGGCCCTGCCCGAGACGAGCACCCGCCGAATCCCCGCCGCCACCTTCATCGGTGTCGAGCGCGCGCGCCGGAGCACACCTCAGGCGGCGGCGGAGAGGAAGGGGGGAGGAGGGGGCGCGGCTGTGGCGGCTAGGGTTGCCCCCGGGTCGCCTCGGAGGAGACGACGCGGGGGGAGAAGGCGCCTAATATTTGCCGTACTATCTTTGTTCGTCGCTCTTCATAGTTATCATTCGCCTCTCCATCGAAAAGAAACCTCATGTATTGCCTTCATATGTGCATGGGGCAGCTTGCTGGCACATATCCTTTTAAATTGTTCAGTGCATTTTCACGAAACCATTGCAGCAAACTGGATAATAAATCTATTTTGAACTCACCGAGCATCCAGATACTATCTCTTGCATACATTTGGTTCTCTCGACGTTGAGCCTACTTTTTCCGTATCTTATTCCCAATCCAATTTCCCACGAATATAGGTTATATAGGTTATAGAAGTCGTACGCCTCCCCCAATGAACCGAAGTTGTATCCAACAGCTGGTACTACAACGGTATTTGTTCTCTTTTCCGCATATCCTCTTAATGTTTTCTCAAGGGCACATACTCTTCCAGCACAAGGTGGACGCTCGAGAGGGGCTCGCCCAATATGAACCCTGCATCATTAATACTGAATCAATCTTGAGGGTAAAGGGTTGCCTTCCTTTTACTAAAGAATGCAAATTTAACACGTGAGCAACATGTAATACATCAATACATTTGGAGATTTTAAATTATTCAGGTATGTGATACAATACTAGCTTCAGAGTCGAGTATGTACAGAGACAAACTGATGTTTGCCTTCTTTTTCGTCAGGTATGTGGAGACCCTTGCAAATACATTTTTACAGTATTATAGTTGACCATGAACAGCTATGTCAGAGATCTAAAATGTTCGGACAAATCTTTAGCGTACTAGCTTCATAGTTGACCATGAACAGCTACAAAATTATGACCATCAATATACTTTCAGATATGTTTCGGCCTACTTGTTTTCTAAGTTCGGACTGAACAAGACGAACAGAGGGGTACCTTTTTGTCCACCCAGGGGCCCGACGGTCATCTTTTCTTGTTGATTGTTGTGAATCGGCCGCCGACAAGCTCAGTTCCTCGCAGCCGTTGTTCTCAGCGACCTGGATTGTAAGCGGAGCGTCGCCAATATCTCCCATGCTCGATTCAACAGCTGACTGTGTAAAACAAGTATCCAGTTCACCCGCTGGATTGAAATCGATTGATGCAAGATCCAGCAAGGAGAACCTGCAAATCGCCCCACGCATCCTTGAGTAGTTGCCGCAAAAGATTTAGAGTAAGTACGTCCACAGGATTAACTAGCAACCATACCTATCCACCAGATCTGATAAGAACTCCAGTCCATTGCCGACCTCCTCCGCCGTCGCCATGACCTCTCGTCTTTGCTGATGGCGATGTAGATCAGTCGAAATGAAGGGCCGGGGTAGGGGTTGGGGGCTCGGCCTTTGTGGTGGCCCCGAGCTGGCATTTATTTTCCTCTGCTATGTGTAGGCCGTTGTCTGGAGGGAACTTGTGTCCATCTCCGTCACGTACCGCGATTCATATTATGTACCAACGGTACACTCCACATGCGCCGTCGTTACCGTGCGCCGTGGACGTCGCCTCGTACGTATCGCACTATTCTCGTCTGTAGCGTATACGTCCACCCGGAAGAGGCCCATTGTTTCGGTCCTGTCCTATTGGTCCACGTACCAGGAGCACGCGCGCCCGTCCTCTCTATCGCCGTTGAATTTTCCCTACTATAGTTCACCTCTCACGTTTTTGCACTGGACTTCTTCAGTAGTATGAAGAATACGATACGATTTGCCGCTTAAACACTTCACTCATGGGCAATTGGAGATATAAGCAACATCCGTGTGAACTCAAATTTCTGTGTGGGCTCATTCTAAAAGAGAAAAAGCGTGTCGCTTGCGCACTCGAGAAATCTCAGAAGTTATTTTATTTGTACCACATCTACAAAAATTGATCCGCACACATTGCATGATGTGTTCTTTGAGTAGGAGGATGTGAGGATATTTGTTTCCCGTTGCAACGCACGGGCACCTTTGCTAGTAAGTATTAAAGGAGAGTTGGGGATTGTACATTGGTACGCCCCAACTCCCTCCATCCCTTCCTCTTATAAATTAATAAAAACTCTTAAATTAATCAAAGTATAAACCTCTTAAATTGCTTAGGTTGGTATGTCGGTAGAGTAAAAAAACTCTTAAATTTTGGTAGTGGATGAAGCTGGAGTAGACCCTTGACTTAATAAAAAGGAATAATCATTTCCAGTAATAGTGTCGACGTGATTAACACCATCAAAACCAGGCATCTGGTAAATCGATTTAGTATTGTACAATACCATTCTTATTGTTTGAAGATGTGCAGCAGCGCATGAATGCAGTTCACCGGTCTGGTATTGGCTTTACTTTGCTTGCTCGCAATGAGACCCCAGAATTAACCTACTCCATTCCTAAAAAGGCAAACCATTTTTTTAGACTATTGAATGTGATGTGGCGAGAGTTAATTAACCAGTTATAATTAACTTTTGTCAGTTAGTCCTGATCTAAAGTTGTTGTTATTGATAAACATTATATTGAATGATGTCTAAATTGCACATTGCTTCCTCTTGCTTATTCTATCTTCTACTCTCCCTATTCGGCTATGATTTATCTGCCGACTCTATTGCCTAGTCGCCACAACATCGGCCATCCTTGTAAACCCTACTTCTCCCGAGTTGGTGACCCGCCTACCTTGTATCCACCACCCACAGTCGGCATCACAACACACCACCTCATTCTGCTCGAGCCACCTCTTCTACGAAGTCGCCGCACCGCCGGTCATCCCACTAAACACCACTTCTTCAACGTCGGCGACCCACCACCCCTATATCCACACCCGCTACCAGCGTCATTACTGCGCCGCCTCATCCTGCTCGAGGTGCCTCTTCTCCCGAGTCGCTGCAGACTTATGGTAAATCTTATAACCTTAAAGTCAAATGTGTAAATTTCCCAACATTTCGAGAAGCTTGGCAAGTTTGCGTTGCATGTTTATCAACCATTCTCAATCTAGGGTGATCATGTCGATGTGGAAGATATATTGTGAACCACTTGTCTGCTCTTGCCCTTCTTAAGTTTGCTGATATTTTTTTCTATTGTTCATGTTAGTTATCATCGTTTCTACAAAATTTTAAAGTTTATTTGGGTCAAAATATGAATAAAGTGTAACGAGCAGTTTCTGTTATCTGGTTTCTATTTTAAGGGGAAATAAGTATCTTCGACTAACGAAAAAATACAAGGATAAGTTTCAAGTCACCATAGATCTATTGTGAACAAAAGCAAACTGGGGTGCCACAGGGGGCAAACGCGTAGAACACTAGAGCGCCTAGGTGGGTGCTTGGGCCCACCATGGCTTCCCAAACAACTGACAATGCCCGATAGGGTATATATCAAAAAAAAAACTTTCCTGCATTTTTATCGTGTATTTTGCTGCCACCTCTTCGTGATCTCATCTACATCCTTGTTCTGGTACATTGCAGAAGGTCGAATTGATCTACACGATGATCATTTTAAAACAAACTATCAATATTTTTTAAAAAGGGTGAACATTTTTATATACATGATGAATAGTTTCTTGATTGATGGCAAACCAAATTAATACATGATAAACATTGTTCAAAAAGTATGAACATTTATTAAATGTGTAATCAACATTTTTGAAGTACACAACAAACATTTTTTACAACCACTAGGAACATTTTTTTAAACACGAAGAACATTTTTAATACATGAAAATTGTTGTTTCATATTAAGACAAAATAATTGACGTATTCCAAAAAATGTGGATATATCATAATTTGTTTTGTGTACTTGTGGAAAAATTGAGAGTACAAAAGGAAATGGAAAAACAGAAGAAAAAAAGACAACAGTAGAGAAAAAAGAAAAATAATTTAAAATAAAAATGGGAAATAAAAATAAAGAGGTAAATTCAAAAAATGAAAGAAAATAAAGAAATCTGGACATGAAACTAAGCTATCGCAAACAAAAAAGGATGTGAAAAATTCCTACGCAAAACCTTTTCAAATTAATATTTTTTTATTCACCCAGTTTTAGTATATATATATATATATATATATAGTTTTTAATATGTCATGAGATTTTTTCTTAAAATTGGGTGAACAAAATTTCACATTCCATAAAAACCTTTTCAAGTACATGTTGAACATTTATTAGATATGGGTTAAAAGTTTTTTCATATGAGTGTTGACATTTTTTAATTTTTTCAAAAATATTTTATAGGTGATACATGTAATATTTAAATTTGTATGGACATTTTTATATGTCATGGATGTTTTCTTGAATCTGTGAACATTTTATAAATGTTATGAATATTTCATTGAATCTTACAAATACTTTTCAAATTCTGGGAACATATTTTACATTAAAAAAAATTAGAATTTTTTCTCTTGAACAATGCCACTGGCCAGGTAGAGAGTGCCATTGAGGTCTGAAAAACAACACAAAGCACATGATATAGAAAACCTACAAGGGAAGTGAGCAACAGCAAAAACATATTGATAAATAAATGTAGTAATCCAGCTATACTTCAGCTGACATAGACACTGAACTATCCTTTTATTTATTTACCGGATGAATGATCTTTTTTCTCACAATAGCCAACCAATTAGTACATGTTTAACACATCTAAAGAACAATACTTAATATGGTTTTCTGTACTTAAACCTGCAACCAATTGAAGAACCACTGAAGCTTCTATCTATATGGATTTCCTTTATGATACATATATGTACCTCGCCGACTTTAATCTCTTTTGCGCCATCTCCACAAACTATCTTAGCAAGATAGCCTTCCTCCATGCATTCCATCTCCACGGTAGCTTTATCCTGGTGACCACACATGTGCTCGACAATTAGCTAGCAGCACAAGTTGTGCCCTGGGTGTGAATGACAAGAAACAAAACTTACGGTTTCCACTTCGCAAAGAACTTCCCCAGGTGAAACTTTGTCTCCTTCCTTCTTCAACCACCTTGCAATATTTCCCTACAAGCCATTCAAAAGTTTTTTACACCACAAAGACAATCGAAGAAACACATGCATGTTGGTCATGCTTTATGTTTTATCTGTACATTTATTTCCAATTTTAGTAATTACCCCGGTCATAGTAGGGGAAAGAGAAGGCATCCCGATTGCCTCATGCAGTGGCAAATCTAAAATGGTATATAGCTTTGTTAAAAATGTTATATGAAGATATCAGCTTGTCTGTATCATCTTATAACTCAAATCTGGAAACAATTTTAATACACAGATAGCTTGACAAGAGAGAGAGGTACCTGCCCCACTTGAAAAATGTCTGGCCAAAACTACCTGTGTACTGAAAAATAGAAACGGACATTCAAAC